TCTGCTTTATCACCCAAGTAAGTTTTCAAAATGCCACTCCCTTGAAGATTCACAAAGCATTATTTGTGTATGTGTGTGCATATATGTATATGAAGTAAAGGCTTTGAGAAGTCATACAGTAAAGAAACCTAAAAAAACCAAAAATCGAACCCATTGCTGTCAACTCATAGTAACCCTGTAGGACAGAGTAGAACTGTCTCATAGACAGTTTCCAAAGCTGTAAATTTTTATGGAAGCAGACTGCCACATCTTTTTCCTACAAAGTGGCTGGTGGGTTTGATCCACCAACCTTTTGGTTAGCAGCCAAGTGCTTCACCACTGTGCCACCAGGGTTCCTAGTTGAACATAATCAGCCCTGCATTTCCCAAAAATGTATTTAACAATGGAATTATTTTTTGAAATTTTACAAAATTAGTATAAACATCCCACAGACTTAATGTTCTTCTGAACATACTTTTAGAAACGTTGGTTTTGACAAATTCATTTGTAAGAAATTAAGAATAATAATACATTTTTTGAGTGCTAAATAATGTGTTAGTTATCTACTGCTGCTATAACAAAAATATCACAAATGGATGGCTTTAACAAAGAGAAATTTATCCTCTCGCAGTCTAGGAGACTAGAAGTCCAAATTCAGGGTGCCAGCTCCTGGGCAATGCTTTCTCTGTCTGTTGGCTCTGGGGGAAGGTCCTTGTCATCAGTCTTCTCCTGGTCTAGCAGCTTCTCAGCGCAGGGACTCCGCTATCCTCCTGGCTCTTGTTTCTTGGTAGTATGAGGTCCCCATTTCTCTCTGTTTGCTTCTCTCTTTTATATCTCAAGAGATTAATTTAAAACACAACCTAATCTTGTAGACTGAGTCCCGCCCCATTACCATAACTGCCTCTAATCCCACCTCATTAACATCATAGAGGTAGGATTTACAAAACATAGGAAAATCACATCAGATGACAAAATGGTGGGCAATCCCACAATACTGGGAATCATGACCTAGCCAAGTTGACACATATTTTGGGGGGACACAATTCAATCCATGACAAGTAATAAACACTGTCCTATCAATTTGAATGTTGCTATGGGTTAAATTTGGTACTAAAAAAATATGTGTTGTAAATGCTAGCCTCGATGCCTGTGGTTGGAAACCCTGCTGGTTAGCAGTTCAAATCTACCAGGTGCTCCTTGGAAACCCTATGGGGCAGTTCTACTCTGTCCTATGGGGTCACTTTGAATTGGAATTGTCTCCACGGCAATGGGTTTTTAAAAAATGCCTGTGGTTATAATCCCATTTGGGAATTGGTAGTCTTTGTTATGATGAGACAGGATCAGTGCAGGGTATATCTTAAGTCAATCTCTTTTGAGATATAAAACAGATTAAACAAACAAGCACTTCAAGCACTTACTGATAAAGACCAAAGACTACAACCGTCAGTATGGATTACACCTTAACATAAAACAAAAATCCTCACAACTGGACCAATAAGCAACATCATGGTAAATGGAGAAAAAACTGAAGTAGTCAATGATTTCATTTTACTTGGATCCACAATCAACACCCATGGAAGCAGCAGTCAAGAAGTCAAACAACGTATTGCATTGGGTGAATCTGCTGCAAAAGATCTCTTTAAAGTGTTAAAAAGCATAGATGTCACCTTGAGGACTAAGATGCGCCTAACCCAAGCCATGGTATTTTCAACTGCCTCATATGCATGCAAAAGCTAGACGATGAATAAGGAAGACCAAAGAAGAATTGATGCCTTTGAATTACGGTGTTGTAAAGAATATTGAATATACATACCATGCACTGCCAGAATGAACAAATCTGTCTTGGAAAAAGTACAGCCAGATGCTCCTTAGAAGCGAAAATGGCAAGACTTTGTCTCACGTACTCTGGACATGATATCATGAGGGACCAGTCCCTGAGAAGGGCATCGTGCTTGGTAAAAGTGGAGGAGGGTCAGTGAAAAAGACAACCCTCAATAAGATGGAATGACACAGTGGCTACAACAATGGGTTCAAACACAGCAACGACACTCGAGGATGGCACAGAACCAGGCAGTGTTTTATTCTGCTGTACATAGCATCGCTATGAATTGGAACCAACTCAATGGCACCTAACAACAACAAACAAGTGAGAGCAGCAGAGATGGGGGAAGATTGATGCCAAGTCACATGGAGATCTTCAAGGAACCAGGAAATAAGCTGAAGAGACAAGGACCTTCCCCCAGAGCCCACAGAGAGAGCCGGCACCCGGAATTCGGACTTGTAGCCTCCCAAACTGTGAGAAAATAAATTTGTTAAAGCCATCCAATTGTGGTACTGACTAAGGCAAATGTACTCTAATCTTCACACTGCTATGAGTAAGTACTATTAGACCCATTTTACAGATAAGGAAGTGAAGCACAAGATCACATACTAAGTGGCTGAGTAGGTATTCCATCCAAGGCAGTCTGACTCCAGTCACACTCTCCACCACTATTTTCTACCTCTATTCAAGGAATTTTAGGAAGACAAGAATGACTTCCTATAAAGATCCCTGCTGCAGCGGTTTCCAAACCTATTTAATCATCAGAATCACCTGGAATGCTCAGTCCAGCCCTAATGAATCTGAATTCCCAGGCACGAGGGCCCAAAAAACTATAAACAATCTCCTCAAATTCTTCTTTTGCAGCCTGCCTTGAATTTGCCTATAGACTAGTGTCAAACTCAAAAAATTAGATTTAGGTCACTAAGGCGTTTTTACTTTCAGTATGATCTCAAAATAATTTTGCCACAAAGATTCCAAGAAGTAGCATATAATGTCATCTAGAAAAGACATAATGGGGGAGAAAGAAGATATTATTGTTTTGTTACAAAATTAAATATGTATTATCTCATTCCCCAAATAAACTTCCCAAGAATTGAACCTATTTTATGTCACATCACTCTCTCTCCTGTCACTACCCATGGTCTCCTCGTTGACAGAGGAAGGAAACAAAGAGCCACAATGAGGTTCCTGATAAACGACAAAAATGGGGAATACTTTTTTTCCTCTGAAAACTTCAAGAAAGCACTTATTTTTGTCACTATCAACAGGAAAAAGGAAGTCAACTCTCAGCATTCGGTGATCCTGGTAACGCCAAACTGAATTTCTTAAAAATCTATGCTAAGATATCAAGGTACTAAGATTCTTCTAAAAAAATTTGTAAGTGGTTGTTATATTGAAGTCCTAAAAGTTAACAATGTACACCGATTTTATATCATAACCTGTATCAAGAAAACCATTCTCCACAGGTGAATTTTGTTTAATAAATTAAAACTAAAGTAGAAAAATTTTAAAGATTCCTCAGTTTGTTGGAAGCTGGATTTTTCCTACTTTGTAAAAAGTAATAAATAATAACTTTTGGCTATTATTATATGCAGGCAACTCTAGTTAATACTTTTATGCTATCTGAATTCTTAAACCTCTGGGAATCAAATAAAGAGAAAGATAGGCCCGAGAAATTCCTTAAAAAATTATACTAACATTTGATATTTATTTATTCTGACAGGCGAATACGTAAGAACATACATAAGAAAGAAGTCTGCTTCCACTTATAATGCAAAGTTGTAAGCTTGTGAATTAGGTATAGACAAGTGTTAACAGTGACTTCCCAGGAAGAATGCTTTGGATGGTTCGATTAAGTAGATTGTGAGCTTCAAGCTCCACGGTTTCCACTCCATGGAAAGTGGACGAGATTCAGAAGTGTTCTATAGCTCAATAAAATCAGCGCTGTGGACCAGAGACTACTCCAGTAAGATAACACAGTGTGCAATTTGGCCTGTAACAGCAACGGTGGGAATAGAGCAACCATGATCGCCGAAGATACCAGGGCTACTTGAAGTCATCTTGACACTTGTCTTTTCCTTTTTCGAGGCTAGTAGCCTCAAGGAGTGGGAACACAGAGCGGGCGCTCACCTGGCGGGTGACGGGGCGCGCACCTGCAGGTGAAGAGCGCCCAGCCCTCGCCTCACCTGTTCTCCTCGGCTCTTCCTCGCCACCACCCCCATCCCTTCCCATTCAACTGCAGCTCACCAAAGAGCACGGAAGGAAGTGGGAGGGAGAAGGTGGTGCAGCATCTCCCGCAACCCGCCGCAGCCTTCTATTTCCTTCCTATTCCACACGGGGTGCAAAGCCACACCGACTCTCCTAAGCCTTGTGCCTCTAATGCAAGGTCTGCAATACTTTAAAAAAAATTTGTTTTTGTTTTTGTTTTAAAGCACAAGTAACTTCCCCGCTCCCTTCTGCCCCTCACCTTCACGAAAGCAATCGGGGTTGTGGTACCTTCGATATCTAACAGGATCACAGTGACTTCGGCGGGCACCGAAAGCACGACCATTTCCCTGCCGGATACTACTACCGGAATCGGCCTACTGCTAGGGAGGGCGGAGGGTGGCGGCGGCTGCAACCTCCAGAACCGTCCCGGGCTCCCGACAGCCCCGCAAGAATCTCGGAGCCCACAAATACGTGCTGCCTGAAGCGCGTAGGGGAGAAGCCACCTCAGCGCACCTGGACGTGAAGAACGAGGCAGCACACAGGGCCTGAACTCAGCAGCTCTGGCGGGCAGAAGGCCGAAACCACGTGGGCAAGGAAAGGGGGCGGCCCTCGCGGGGACCCGAGGGGCGGGGGGAGGAGAGGCGCCAAAGCCGATTGGCAGCCAGGAAGCCTCTAACCTGATCCGTCAAAACGGGCCTAGCGTGGGCGGGAACAAAGAAGCGAACGCGGGAGCACAGTGCGCGAGTGCGCGCTCTCCGCAGACTGGTTGTGCGAGCGGGAGAGGCCTGGGGCACGTGCAGACGGGAGCCCCGCGAGTGGCGCGCCGGGGATGTGAGTGCCCCTTGCCCTCTACAGCACCTAACCCCTTCCCCGCCCACTGCTTCCACTTTTGCATATTTACAGTAATCTGACCAGGCCCCCGCCCCTCCTCCCTTTCTCGGAGCGCTGAAGAGGTCGTGTTTGGTCCTGGTTTTCCTGACTGCGTTGGTCCCGGTTGCGGCCGATCGGCTCAGGCAGGCCCGCCGCGCCCCCTCGTTGGCGCGTCTGTTGCGATAGCGGAAGAGGCGCCCGCGCCTCGCCACTGCCCGAAGGGGTCGCCGGGCACCCGCTTCCTGTTCGGCTGGTTCCAGCCAGCTCGAAGACAAAACACGCGTGCGCGCGGTGGACGGGCGCGCTCGCCGCCTCAGCCACGAGCGCCGGGCGCAGTCAGCCTTTCTCCGGAGCAGTTTGGCCACGGTTCTAAGCGATAGCAGCAGCCGCCGCAGCAGCTCCGCACTGGGGGACCGAGGGAGGAAAAAGGCAGGGTTGACGGCTCTTTGCTAGGAGTGGGCTGGATCGGACGCCAGAGACAAAGGCTCTCAAGGCAAGAGGGACTGTTGCCCGCGACGGCGCTGCTTGGGATTTTTGACCCAAGGACTTTTAGCACCGTCGTTTTTTTCTTCTGAGTCTCTTCTCATCCCAAGCCCGCGTCCCCCCACCAGCGACCTCGTTCCTCACCGGGAGGGCCGCGATGGAGGTCCCGCCCCGGCTTTCCCATGTGCCGCCGCCATTGTTCCCCCCCGCTCCCGCTACTTTAACCTCCCGCAGCCTCTCCCATTGGCGGTCGCGGGCGCCGAGGCAGCTCGCTCCGCTCCTCCCTTCGCTCGCTCCCAGCTCCTCCCGACAGGGGGCGCGCCGGGTCCAGCGCCACGTCACCGCCCAGCAGCCTTCCGGATTGGCGGGCGGGACGGCTATAAAGGGAGGGCGCAGGCGGCGCCCAGATCTCTTCCGCCGCCATTTTAAATCCGGCTCCATACAACGCTCCGCCGCCGCTACTGCCGCGACTCGGTCTGCGCGCCAGCACCCCCCTGCCGACAACTCCGCCACAATGGAGGACATGAACGAGTACAGCAACATAGAGGAATTCGCAGAGGGATCCAAGATCAACGCGAGCAAGAATCAGCAGGATGACGGGTACCACACAATTCTCCCCTCACTCCCCCGTTCCCCAGCGCGCCGCACGCGCCCTTCGTTCCTTGAGAACGGCGCGCTGCCCTCATTCTTGCCCCGAGCCCATTCCCCGCGTGCTCGCTGGGCCCCACTAGCTTTAAGGGAAGAGGAAAGTAGGAGACGGAGGGGGTGGCTCGAGCCCGCGAGGGTGGGGGAAGGGCGGAGGAGTTGGCAGTGGCGGCGTCTGTCCCGAGTGCGCAGGCGCCGCGTGGGGCGCAGGGGGGAGGGGCAGGCCTCGCTGCGCCACATGCTGCAGCTGCCGCCGCCTCTTCATTGTGTCTTTGTTACTGCTCCGCGCGGTTTTCCTGGGGGGGTCGCTTAGAGAACTCCTAGTTTGGGGACCAGTAGGCGGCTGGTACCCACATCCCCAGAACCCCTGTAATGAGTGTGTTTAGGTGGAACGTTGGCTTGACAGCTGAGGAAGGGGGTGGTCCTGAATTGGGAGAGATGAGCTTAGGAAGTGGATTTGAGCTAAAAGTGTCTGGGCAGAACCTTTACCATATTTTGCTGGCCCAGTATAAATTCTGCATTATGCAGTGTGGAGAAGCGAGTTGGTTACCATTGTTTATTAAGTTATCTCGAGGAATTTTGGGATTTTTGTGGAGTTCTCATATAGGTTTGTAAACATGGATTAAATTATTTGCCCTTAGGTTTCCCTGCATATTTCAGTTAAGTCTAATTTCCAAACTGAGGTAGACATTTGAGTTGCTAACATTTTTTAAAACAAAAATTTTCATTTCTAGTAAAATGTTTATTGGAGGCTTGAGCTGGGATACAAGCAAGAAAGATCTGACTGAGTATTTGTCTCGATTTGGAGAGGTTGTAGACTGCACAATTAAAACAGATCCAGTCACTGGACGATCAAGAGGATTTGGATTTGTGCTTTTCAAAGATGCTGCTAGTGTTGATAAGGTGGGAAAGTGTTTTTGCATTGTGCTGCTTTTGTGTGTTTTTTGCAGATTTTTCTGGGGTTTGGTTGTATGTTGTCAAAGTAAATAAATCTTGTCTTCTAGGTTTTGGAACTGAAAGAACACAAACTGGATGGCAAATTGATAGACCCCAAAAGGGCCAAAGCTTTAAAAGGGAAAGAACCCCCCAAAAAGGTTTTTGTGGGTGGATTGAGCCCAGATACTTCTGAAGAACAAATTAAAGAATATTTTGGCGCTTTCGGAGAGGTGGGCTGTGTGGTTATCTTGACACACATTTTCTAGTATTTGATATGCTTATTAAATGTTTATTTGGGGGTCTCTTGCAGAATACATTTTATATAGCAGCTGAGAATAGGGTCCCTTCCAGTGACTGTACCTTAATTGCTGCTTTTCATGCTGTAGTGGAAATTATGCTATCTAATTTATGTATTCTGGCCAAAACATGAATGTTTTTGGTGTGGTCTGTCTTTGTTTTTGTTTTTCTTTTTTTTTTTTTTTAATTGTACTTTAGGTGAAGGTTTACAGAACAAATAGTTTCTCATTAAACAGTCAGTACACATTGTTTTATGACATTGGTTAACAACCCCACGACATGTCAACACTCTCCGTTCTTGACCTTGGACGACGTTTTATTTTTGGTGAAAATATACGTAGCCAAAGATACACCATTTAAAAAATTTCTACACGTATAATTCAGTGACTTCGATTACATTCTTCCAGTTGTGCTGCTGTTCTCACTTTAGATGAAGGTTTACAGAACAAAATAGTTTCTCAGTGTGACCTGTCTTTGGACTTAAAAACTAGTGGTATCTGTTGGATACAAAATGATACTGAACAAAGTGTTACTCTCTCAGTGTTTCACACATACATCAAATTACTGTAGATTAATAATAAAGCAGTGGTTTCTATACAGAAATCATCTGACTAGAATAACATGAAAAAGACTTGTGGCATTCTAAGACTCTTTGGTAGCTTTTTTGGTTGATGTTAAGCATGCATCTTGATTTCAGATTGAAAATATTGAACTTCCCATGGATACAAAAACAAACGAAAGAAGAGGATTTTGTTTTATCACATATACAGATGAAGAGCCAGTAAAGAAATTGTTAGAAAGCAGATATCATCAAATTGGTTCTGGGAAGGTAAAGCCATTTGAATTATATTAAATGAAAAAAAATTTTTTTTTTTTTTTTTTAGTAATTCTCATTCTCTCTGAGAAGAATAAAATACTTTTCTAAGTGTTTGAACTTCGGTTTAAAAGAAAAAAATTAATGTATATGTGTTTGTTTATAGTGTGAAATCAAAGTTGCACAACCCAAAGAGGTATATAGGCAGCAACAGCAACAACAGAAAGGTGGAAGAGGTGCTGCAGCTGGTGGGCGAGGTGGTACTAGGGGTCGTGGACGAGGTAAGACTTAATTTAAACTTAGAACTGTTCACACAAGGAAAAATGCTCAGCTTAGTAAGTGGATTTTGAGGCTTTTTTAATGAATTTACTAGTTTGACCTTAAAGATTAGCCACTCTGACAATTAGTATCATCACTGGTAGGAAAGTATATGATTACATGTAGTTAAGATTACATGATACACCATGACGTGATAGGTTTTTTTGGGCAGGAGTCCTTGTTTTAAGCAGAACAGCCTGTCTTTGGGTTTGTCTTGATTTCCCATTAAATTTAGAAAGTTTGATATTGGCACAATTTGGACTTTCTACCCCCTTTTTTATGGCAACTGAAAAAAATTACGTTTTCACGAAGGTAACAGTATAGATGTTCTTTCTGCCTTTTAAGATTTGCAGAGTGAGGGACAAGAACGAATCATTTTATATTAGAACTGGGGGTCAGAAGTTGTTTCCTAACAATCATTGTGCATTGTTTCAGGTCAGGGCCAAAACTGGAACCAAGGATTTAATAACTATTATGATCAAGGATATGGAAATTACAATAGTGCCTATGGTGGTGATCAAAACTATAGTGGCTATGGCGGATATGATTATACTGGGTATAACTATGGGAACTATGGATATGGACAGGGATATGCAGACTACAGTGGTAAGAATATTTAACTTAATTTCCTAAACCAGTGGTATTTAAATTGAGTGTTAAAGTATAATCCCATTCTGAAATTGTTTCAGCGTATATGGGTTTTTCCAGTTATTGAAGGGTATTGAAGTTAAGTTTTTGTGGGATTTGATAGACTCAGAGTGATTGTTTTTAATTTACAGACATTGGTGCTTATAGTTGTAACAGAATGTGGTTCAGAATACATGAATATTTTCATGTTTATTTGGCATGAAAAGTTAACCATTTAATCGTGCTTTTGTGTTAGTATCTTCATAATGAAACCATTTTGTAGAAAACAATCCTAATGTAATTTTTGTCCTTTTCAAAATAGGCCAACAGAGCACGTATGGCAAGGCATCTCGAGGGGGTGGCAATCACCAAAACAATTACCAGCCATACTAAAGGAGGACGTTGGAGAAAAAGGTGTGTATAAAAGTACAAGAAACCAGTGGAAATGGCTAATTTAATTTAAAGATCAATAGACAAATGAAAAAAATAAGTAAAAACAAAATATTGTGTAGTCTGTTTTTTACTAAATTGTTAATTTTTTAATTGCTGTATGAGCCTGTTTTGCCCTAAAATGTCTATAGATCTTTAACTTTTAAAGTCTGATCTTATCTTCTTTAGTATTACAGAAAAACTTAAAAGTTTTTCTGTTCGCTTTGTGTGCCAGGTGATCTAGAGGAATAATTAAACTTTTTTAGAACTATTAACAGGTAAAGTACTGAAATGGGTACAACTTAAGGAAAACAAGAATGTTGTCTTCTAACTCTGACATTATACCTTGTTTGTACCCGCCAGCGGGAACTTCATTGCAGGCCGTGTGTCACCCTGACCACGTCTATCTCTGGGGGTCGCACGTTGCGGGCAGAGCGCAAGGCATACACCAGAAAACGCTGTCCTGTGGTATGGTCTCTTCCAACTTCATGTACCAGCGTAAAGATTAAAGTGGAAAACTTCAGACTTTGGCTTCTTTTTTAATCTTTTTGAAGATTAAGTGTCTAAACTTAACTTAAATGGTTTTTTACAGGAGTTAAAGTACATAAATGCCTTTTTACAGCTTAATCATTTTGGTCTTCTGTTTAGTGTTGTATTTCAATTGTGGAGCCTCATTTTAAGTGTTCATTCTTTAAGATTTAATGCTTGCTTTTTCTTTTTATAGCTAATAGTGAAATCTACAAACCAAAACAAGAACTTTTAAATCTGGGATGTACATTAAAGATCATATGCACAAAGCAATTCCTCTCTTTGCAGTATAATAAATCTATTAGAAATTCATGCTTGTGATGGCATTTTACTTGGCTTACTAGAGATGCTTCTAGTAGACCTTAATCTAGCACAGTTCAATCTGTGAATATGGGAAGATTGCATTCCCAAATTCTCTTCTAAATAGATTAAAATGTAATATCATTTGGGAATTCGAGGGTGAGTTTATTAACTAAACTATGTTTTGTTGATGAATATGCATGTGATCTTTAATTATTGAAGAAAAGAATAAAGTGAGGACTTAAAACAGTTCATGAAAGTGGACCTTTGAAAGCTTGTCAGAGTTGCACAGATCTAATTGTTCTTTTGTTTTTGTTTTTAGGAGGAGATGTAAAGTAACCCATCTTGCAGGATGATGTTGAAGATTGGTCTTCTGTTGATCTAAGATGATTATTTTGTAAAAGACTTTCTAGTATACAAGACACAATTGTGTCCAACTGTATATAGCCGCCAATTAGTTTTCTTTGTTTTTACTTTGTCCTTTGCTGTGTTATGACTCAATGTGGATTTGTGTTTATACCGATTTTATTTGTATGATTTCATGTTAAACCTCAAATAAATGCTTCCTTATGTGATTGTTCTTCTGTGTCAGGTACTAAATAGCTTTGTAAAAATGTAATATTAAATAAGCAATAATTAAGGCACGGTTTGTTTTGTACAAAATGTTGGTCCATAGGGAGAAACAGTAGTCCTTTATGAATAGCCAGCCACATGTCATCCTGTTCCCCAGTTTTACAGATGTATTCTATGCTCCAAGCCTTCATCTCCCTATTAACCGAGGCTTCTACTATCCCATTAATGTTCTTTTCTCTGTATATCTATAGACTTTATCGTCGAGACTTTGTAAGTTGAAGTATTGTCATGAACTGTATCTCTCCAGTAGACCATGAGTCTTCTGAGTTAAAATTTCAAGAAAAGTACTTTTTAACAAAACATATTTGTATCTCTTATAACTAGAGAAGATTTTGCTTTGTTCCTTTGTGCAGACGGCCATGTGTTATGATTTGCTGATTCTTTGACTTCAAAGTCAATTGGTGGTCTTCTAGAAAAAGCTTTAGCTAATCACACAAGGCTATTAACAGTTCTCTTGACAAAATCTCCAGATACACGCAGAAAACACACAGATAGGAACAACATTTAACTTAAAATGTAGCTAGCAAATTACAAGGATTTTAGGAATATGAAGTTACTAGATCAAAAAATTAGGTAAAGTATATGAAGTAGTGGCAGAGTAAATTCCGTTGGTATTCTGTCATGGCCATCAGCAAACTGAACAAGATGTCTTATATTGGATATTCTTTGGAAGCTCTTGGTAGAGTTAATTGCTCCTATGGTTGTGAGTTCTTAGAAAAAGTCATGGTAGTAAAGCCATCGTTCCTAAAGCCATCGTTTCTAATATGATCAGTGCGTGAGCTGAGTAAGCATTTCTCTGTTCAGGTATAGGAATAGTAGAAGAGATAATGCTTTAAATCTCGCAAATGTTAATGCACAGCTGAGTTACGACATAACAGCAGAACTTCCTGGTGCATTGAAAAGGAAACCAAGCAGGTTGGTTTCTAGGTTTTGGGTACATCGATTGCAGCTTTGAATTTTCCATTCAGTGTAGTTAGTTGGATTTAAGGAAAAGCTTATTTCCATGGTTCCACATTAGTTAACTAAGATCATTATGAAATAACACAGGATATGCAGACTAGTTTTCGCAGTCAACCAAATAACCTGTATGCTGATGGACTTTGTTTTGCTTAAATTTGGTGCCTGCAACTTTTTTTGTTGCTATGATGTTTGTACTTGATGGACTATCAAGTTTAAATGCTCCTGGCCTTGCGTTTTGCTCCTGTGTTGCTATTTGACCTTAACGCCCAGGCCAAGTACCAGTGTTAGCTATTACAAGGGGTTTCTCTATTTCAACATGCAACGTTAGGGAACAGAAGGGAGATGATTTCATTTTAAGTGTGTTGTGAAGTCAGCAAGTGCAGTGTTTTTAGAGTAGTGAATCCTGTAAGTTCAAATTTATGATTAGGTGTCAAGTTGACATTGGGATTGTCGTTTCCCTGATCCAAACTGAATAAAGACTTTTTTTAAAAAAAAAAAAAAAATCCAAGCTCTTCAGTCAAACCTTGATATATTTGACCTTGAGGAAATTGCATCTACAGGTTATTGCCTGAGATGGTTTACAAAAAATTGGGGAGTAAGAGTGATCATGGTTTTCTCTGAGGGCGTTCAGATTGTAGATTCTTGTGATTTCATTAATTCAGTTTTATAGCCTATCAATGTTCACCAGCTGAGTTGGTAAATTGGAAAAAACTAGGCCAAGGATAAATGCTGTAGGCACTTCTAGTTGGGTAAACTGTAAAATTGGTATCAAAGTCCCATTTCCACATTAATTGAGAACTAAGCTGAATAGTTTGACAAGTCAATTGAAGGGATAGGGGTAGTAATTGCATTGTGAAGTACCTATGGCATTCAAGCGTACTCATGTAACCTGTATATAGTTAAATAATGCTTCTGAATTGTTTTAATCAAGTTTTATGTGCTGTTAACGCATCCTAACAAACCAAATTGGCAGTGTTGTTGGTTAAAATGGGACTACACAATATTAATATTCCATAATATAACCACATTTATAAGATTAAAAAAAAAGCCATCAAGTTGATTCTGACTCATAGTCAGACCCTATAGAAGAGAGTAGAACTGCCCCATAGGGTTTACAAGGAGTGGCTGGTGGATTATGAACTGGTAACCTTTTGGTTAGCAGCCAAACTCTTAACCACTATGCCACCAGGGCTCCCATTTATAAGATTAGGGCTATTAAGATTTATCTGTTGGGGTACAAGCATGAGTAAAGAGTCTTGTATTCCATCACTCTTCAGTGTTTATTTTTGTAGTGGCAACAAATTCTTTGCTACTCTTCAATTTGTTAGGAAGTCCGTGGTAGGGAAAATTTCACAGATTAAAAAGATGATTTGAGGATACTTGTAGATAATATACAATTTTTATAGGAGGTGATGTGTGTATATACATGTATGTATGTAATGTATACCATGTGAAATCCTAGCATTAAGCAAAATTAGGAAATATTCTGTAAAAATTTTACCTCTCTTAAAATTTACATCCTCGTAGAACTGTCACGTCAACTTTTTGACAAGAGCAGTGCAATTTCTGTTACCTTTCTTATAAAGTCATTCAAAAATGTGTTGCCATAAAAATACAAGCTATTGGATTCGGATTTTATATTTTTCTTTGTCTTGAAACAGATTAAATGTGGGATTTCAGTGAGGCTTTGTTGAATAGCAAAAACTAAAAATACACTTTTGACTTCACAACCCGCTACCTTTTATAAGATGTAGGAAAGGATGTAGTGGTGCCCCAGGATAATGTTAATTCTGAAGACTTCTTGTGCCACTCTAAATAGCAGTTTAATCTCAGCAATTACCCCCATCAGTATTCATTCAAGGAGGCATATCCATTTGGGGAAGTCTGTCATAATCTTGGAGGGTGGTTGGGATTGAGGTGTAGCTTGAAAAAAGTATATTCAACGTAATCTCTGATTTGTTGTTACTTAAAATTGAGTTGCAAATAACAATGCTTAAGATTTTGGTTTATCAAAGAGCAGTACAAGATAGAAAAATATGAAAAACACTGTCCTGCAAACAAGTTTTCCCGTACTGTTCCAGTGATTATCTCCTTTTGCATATCTCACCAAAAAGTTCTCTTCAGATGGAAATTTAAATGCCCTGGTGGTGTAGTAAAGAAGCCCTGGTGACGAAGTGGTTAAAGCGATTGACTGTTAATCCAAAGGTCAGTAGTTCAAAACCACCAGCTGCTCTGTGGGAGAAAGATATGGCAGTCTGCTTCCATAGAGATTTGCAACCTTGGAAACCCTATGGGGTCGCTATGAGTCAGAACTGACTTGAAGCAGTGGGTTTGGTTTTTCTAGTTTGGTGGCGTAGTGGTTAATAGCTCAGCTGCAAACCTAAAGGTCAGCAGTTCAAATCCACCAGCTGCTCCTTGGAAATCCTATGGGGCAGGTCTACTCTGTCCTATAGGGTGGCTGTGAGTTGGAAGTGACTCGATGGCACCTAACAACAACATACATACATACAGTTTCAGGGAAATTACAGGCTTCTTTGAAAGCCATCTGCTTAAAAGGTTCTTGAAGTTTGCTTATATGGTAGCAAGCCAACTAAAATTTATAAATTTGTCCTCATTGATGATGTTGCACTAAGAAACTTTCTTCAGAAGGTATCTCCTTGGTATTGTGTTTGTGTTGGCTGGTGAACATTCATATGGGGTGATTGTTCTGTTGAGACACAGGGATGGTCAACCCCATAAAAGACCCTATTCAAAACCTTGATTTATCCCCTAATTTTTCAAGTTGTGGAAGTCAGCTAATCGAAAAAACCAACTCTGATTGCATTTTAGAAGCTGTCTTATGATGGCATCACTAAGGGGGTGCAGGTGTGGACTATACCAGGTGACACTGTCAGAGGGGGTGAACCAAAATGTCTATAATATTTTTGTGCAGAGTTTCAGCAGAAATTTATTATATTTAATAAAAATATCCCTGTAGTTAGTTATAACAACAAAAACATTTTTCATAAGCACAGCTTACATGTATCAATATACCTACAAGGCTAAAACTATGCTAATTTACTTTTTGAACCTTCTCCACTCCAGTCAGAGCTGTCATTATCTAATTACAGTGATGTTTGCAATCACATGATTTCCTCTGCACAAGCTACAAGCATGCGCTGTTGTTTTTGTTGCTGGCGATGTTTTTATAGTTGTGATTTTGTCAAGTTTTCTGGTGATTTAGCTACAATATTGTGGTAATTAGCATGGGGGGGTGACACTGAGTTACAGCACTGGGTGACACCAACCCTAGTGATGCCACTGCTGTCTTGGTTTCTAGGACTGCTATAACAAAATACCACAAAGTTGAGTGGGTTATAAGAACAGAAATGCATTTTCTGTTCTGCAGGCTGCAAGTCCAAATCAGGGTATGGGCCATGTTGATTCCTTCTGAGAAGGCTGAGAGAGAAACTGTTCCATGCCACTCTCCTACCTTCTTGTGGCTCCCCTCAATCCTTGGCATTCCTTGGCTTGCATCTGCCTCTGTAGTCACATCACATGGCCATCCTGTTCTCCACTTGATGAGATTAATACCCACCTACTTCAGTATGAAACCCTGGTGGTGTAGTGGTTAAGAGCTACAGCTGCTAACCAAAAGGTTGGTAGTTTGAATCTACCAGCTGCTTCTTGGAAATTCTATGGAGCAGTTCTATTCTGTCCCATAGGGTTGCTGTGAGTCAGAATAGACTCAATGGCAATAGGTTTGGTTTTTTTAATTCAGTATGCCCTCACATTAATTAATACCTTCAAAGACTCTATTCCAAACAAGGTAATGCCCACACATACCAGGCGGTTAGGACTTCAACATATCTATCTTTTTGGGGGACAAAATTCAATCCATAGCAAAAATTATTTGCTTAAACTCCTATTCTATTGGGCATATTTGAGGCCTAGATTTTGAACAGAAGCATTTGCCACTTTTGAGAATGGCCTTTAAGCATTAAGATTGGTTAGCAGTCTTTAATATAATCAATTTATGAGTGCTGAGATCCTTTTTAAGAAGAGTAAGGTTGTATGATAATTGATCCATTCTTGATGCTCTGATGAGAATGGAGGCTGGATACTCCGGAGCAACTACTCATTCCCATGAAAGATCTGTCCTATGGAATTGACAGTGATTATTTAGGCCACTCTTGAACCATGAGACACTTGGGATGTAGTATTAACCCTGCAAGCAGAGGGATGAAAGGAGTGTGTGGCAGTGGAGGCTAAGTGGTATTTTAGTGTAGTTCCGAAATTTTTCATAACCAAAAAAGCCTTTAAATATTTCCTTGCCGTGAACTTTATGTTTTCAATGACTTTACTTGTCTGTCATGGATTGAATTATGTCTCCAAAAAAATGCGTGTGTCAATTTGGCTGGCCCATGATTCCCGGCATTGTGTGATTTTCCTATGTGTTGTAAATCCTGCTTCTATGATGTTAATAAGGGAGGATGGGCAGCAGTTGTGTTAGTAAGGCAGGACTCAGTGTACAAGATTGGACTGTGCCCTGAGGCAATCTCTTGAGATATAGGAGAGAAGTGAGCAGTGAGACAGGGGGACCTCATACCATCAAGAAAGCAGTGCCAGGAGCAGAGCATGTCCTTTGGACCGGGTTTCCTGCGCAAAGAAGCTCCTAGTCCGGGGAACATGGATGAGAAAGCTGACAGAGAGAGAAAGACTTTCCCTGGAGCTGATGCCCGGAATTTGGACTTTTGGCATACTTCACTGTGAAGAAATAAATTTCTCTTTGTTAAAGCCATCCACTTGTGGTATTTCTGTTGTAGCAGCACTGGATGACTAAGACAGACCTTATGTTTTCAATGACTTTACTTGTCAAATATATTGCTCTCATTATGTATTGGCATTTCTATTAATCAAAGGTATATAACTCAATCAGAGCTTCTACAGTGTGATAATCAGCATCATACTACCAACTTAATGTAATGCTAAAATCAAACAATATTTTTGTTAGCCTGTGCAAATTATTTCAGTAATGTGTGATGTCTACTGGAGTTTTAAAGTACTGAAAATAAGTCCAAAAATTCTCATTACTACTTTTTAGGACCTTCAGAATTATACTTGCCACATTGTTGGAGATACTATGGAGAAAAAAGGCTCTTTTGGAGTATGCATTAGTTTCATAATCTGGAAAAAGGTAATATTTTAAAATAGTTGGTATGAATACTATTATAATTTTTTTAATTATGCGTTTGAATGACTTCATTTGAAAAAGACCCACAAATCACACCATTGATTCCATTTAATGTACATGCTTCTATTTTTTCCTGCATTTGTTCCTTTGTTGTAATCCACTACACATAGGTTTTAGAACCTGTCAAAACTGAGAATAACTCCACTCTGGCCTAGGCCTTCTCTTACACTGATTCTTTCAAGTGTTATTATAGTCTGATGTTTCAGAACACCAAGATACAGATATTAGCAAAAAGGTTTTTATTTTCCCTTTATTACCTATCCAAGAGAA